CCCCCTCCCCCGTTCCGCCCCCTCCCCCGCGCCGTCTCAGCGCCCCCCCGCGGCTCCAGCGCCCGCCCAGCGCCCTCTCTGCCCCGACCACTTTATTTCGGCACCGCACCCCCCCCCTCCGCCCCCCGAGAATACACCCGACAGACTCTGCGTGCAAAGCGACTGCCTTGGACAAGCGTTCGCAACACAAGGCCGCCGCGCACTTTGCACCGCGAGCCCCCAGCAGCTGAGTCCGCTCAGTAATTTCTTCCAGCCCTCCTTGGACCCTGGAGGCCTCCCCTTGGGACCCTCTGTAGGCTTCTCGGGCGTCAGTTGGAGGCTTCCTGGGAACCCGTCAAAGGTCTTTGAAGCCATCTTGCGGGGGACGGCCTTTGGAGTCTCCTCGCGCTCGCCCTCTGGAGCCCCTCTTGCGGCCCTGTTTTTTTCACTTCTTCTGCGATGTCTGGCATCCTCTCCCCCCCCCCCCCTCCTCCTCCACATCCTCCTCCTCCCCCTTCCTTTTTGCGCAAGAGCCATGGCACACGTGCCACTTGTTTTTGTTCTCCGAGGGTTACCGAGGGTCGATGGAAGAAGAAGAAGAAGATCACACCCAGACGCTGATTTTTGGTGGGTCGCGTTTCAAACGCTGCTCGGCTGAAGCTGTCCGCGTCATGATTTCATGCCGCTCTCGTTCTGTCGGGGCCAGCGTTTGAAAACACTGACGATACAAGGCCGAGCCTACCTCCCATGGGTCATTCAGGGGTTAGTGTGGTCTCCGATCTTCGCAGTGCTTGCCTGCTGCTCGTCATAGAATTCGTCTGTGTCAGACAGTATTGCCCATCCGACGGGAAGCCGGTGAATACTCGCTGTGTCGCTTTGCTGTATATCTTTGCCGCGCTCAGAGGTGCTCGCTTAAAACATCCCATCTGCACAGGGAAACATCTTTATATGACGTTCACGGCAGCGCCCGTCTAGCTGGCAGTAATCGACGGCTTGAGTCCGTGTCCTTGTGTGTTATGCGCCCGTTCTTGCATATCGCCAGATTCTTTACAGACCGTGTGCGCAGCCATCACCTACTCTGTAGAAGCCGCAAGTCTGATGCGGAGGCAGCGAGTCAGTGTGACGCAGCTTTCTCTGCTCCCGTCGCCCACACGTGCCGTGATTCCTTTGCCAACTAGTGTTCGCGTGGTATCGCGAGCCACCGTGCATGCGGCAACACGTGTCCAGCATTCACCATCAATCATTTCATGATGCTCGCACGGCAGGGAGCACTGACATGGAGCACCGCTTGTTTGGCGACGTGAACCGTTTGCGTCCATGTTCTAAGTATCGTTGGTGTGCGAGTCTTGCGCCCGTCTATCGCTCGTTCCTCTGTATTCTTGTTGCACGCGGTGATGTGCCCCCATGTTGCCAGGCGACGTGTAACCCGGCGCGTCAATGTGATGCTTCTTTCTGTCCTCCCGTCGCCCACACGTGCCGTGATTTTTTTGCCAATTAGTGTTCGCATGGTATCGCGAGCCACCGTGAATGCGGCAACATGTGTCCAGCACTCACCATCAATCATTTCATGATGCCCGCACGGCATGGTGCATTGGCAGGACACACCGTTTGGTTGGCGACATGTTTCGTATTCTAAGTATCGTTTGTACGCGGGTACTGCGCCCGTCAATCGCTCGTTCCTCCGTATCCTTGTCGCACGCGGTGATGTGCCTCCCTTTTGCCAGACGATGTCTAACCCAGCTGGCTTCTGAGCTCCTCGGGGCCAGCCATGCGGGGCCCGAGCTATATTGTCTCTGCGCTTTCCGCAGTTTGCATGGGACCTAGATGCAATCGGCTTCTGGGGAGAAAAGCGCCAGTGTGAGGTGCAGGCGCGGCGATGCCGGGGAAGTATGCAGCCAGAAGAGCGACCATCTCAATGGTAGTTCGATGATACATGACATTCGTGGGATGAACGTGGCTACTTTTTTGCGCCGTTGCTGGCTTCGATCTTCGCTGGAGCAGCGCACTGCAGTTCGTGGATTGTCTTGGCGTCCTACTCGCCATGACGTTTGCCCACGCTAGAAAAAACATGTTCCGATGCTCGCAGTAGCTGGCCTATCGCAGGAACATAGATGGGCAGGAAGACGCGAAGCAGGGGAGGGAGCGATGTTGGGATGCATTACCCTCTTCTCCATTGGACAGGTCGGACCACAGGTCGGACAGACCCTAGTTGCAGGCGTTGAGTGTTGCATATTAGTCTGCGTTGGTTTTATCATTCAACAGCGCGGGCATTCGATCTTATCGGCCGTTTCTTCGGATCTTGGTCCCAAGTCTATCCTATACGCCGTATGGCGTCGACATGTTATGGTCGTTGGTTCCGTTCGCTTGTGTGCACTACCAGGTTACCGCGGGGGCGCGAAGATAATCGAGCCTCACGATGCGCGAAGTGCCAAGTGTGCGGATTTGGTAGCCTGGCCCCGCCGCCTGCATCGAGTGATCCCGCCGCAGCTGTTTTCCGAGCCGGCGGGTCGGCACCCGTTCCTCGAGGAGCAGGCGGGTGGGGGGAGCTGGTTCCACGCGTGTTGTTGTGAGAGGTGTTCTGCAGCACACAGGGCCGCTGCCGGAAGCATCTGCCGATCTCCAGCATGTCGGGGAGCTGTGGTCGGCGACTTGGGGGAGCGCGCCGATGTCTGCCAAGCATGGGTCCCCGTGCCCCGCATCTCGCTGGTTCGGGCGCCACTCTTAGTCGAGCACGTACTCCGGTGCACAGATACATGCTAGAAGGCAACTTGCCAGAATGTGCAAATATTCTGGTTCGCCGATCATCGTATGAGTGCATGTGTGGGCTCCTGAGAGCCCCATGGGGCCGCCGAGACACTTGAGATGCACTTACTAACGCGGGGCACGTGATAACAGGCCTACTTCTTACTGGACGTACCTATTATGCCCCGCAAACGTGTTATTCATTCATTTCGCAGGTATGTGGTTCGTGTTCGAGTGACTGTTTGTTGTGTCCAACTTTCTAGCGCAGTCAGGAGTACGCAGTCAGGAGTTGTGAATCAACGTGTTGAGTCCCAAACATGTCAATTACAACTTGGCGCAGATGAGGTAGAAGGATTGTTGGACATCATTTGAAGCTTAGGCGTTTATTCACGACGTCAGAGTTGAACGTCGTAATCGTCGGGCAGCGTGTGGTTTCACCGCTGTGCGGTAGTCCCTTTGACAGGGCCATTGTGGTTTTGTGCGTGCTTTATCCCATCCACTGTCTCGTGCGTATCCTTCCTACCGTGCACACGCATGCTCAATTTGTTTGAATGTTGTGATTTGTGCCATGCACGTGTCTGCGCATCTTGATACACGTTTGTTGCAGGAAGCGGGAGGATGGGGATGGGGTTGACGGTGAACGGAGAGGGAAGGACGGCGAGGGCGGGAATCGGGAAGCGTGTGTGTTGGGAGGGTTCAGGGAGGCAGGGGGGAGGTGAGGGGAGGGCAAGGAATGTCAACGGCGAGGGGAATTGAAGGTGAGGGGAGTGACGGGAAGTGCGTCGAGGGCAGACACAGGGTCGGGGAAGTGGCCGAAGGGGGCGGGAGTGGGAGGGGGAGCGGGGGGAAGGCGAGGGGATGGGATCAGAGAAGAGAGGGAAGGCCAGGGAGGCGGATTGGGAGGGCATTTTCTCTTCCTTTGTCCTCCCCACTCCGCCCCCTCAGTTCTTCCTCCTCATCCGTGCTTCCCAATCCTGATCTGAGCCCCTGACTAATTAGGTTGCGGCCTCCCCCCCCCGGGGCCACGTGCTTTTGATCTAAGCGCTTCCTCGTTCCTCTCCACATTTCCTTCTCCCTCTCCCTCGAGAGCAAAACAGTCGAAGAGGAAACGATCTTACGGCCAGGGGTATCCAACAGGGCACACACGGACACATACACAGTTTCCCTCATTGGCGGACTTGCACAACAAATGAGTCGTCTTCTAATTTGACATTCCAGAAGGATTTTCAACTGGACCCGCACACAGACGAGGGCTTGTGTTTTGTATTGCGCTGTCGCCCACAGAAAGCGGAGTCAATTCAGCCCCCATGTATCTTTCTCCGTAATGGTGTGTCTCTCTTTTTCGTTCTCTCTGTCTCTCTCTCTCTCTCTGTCTCACTCTCTCTCTCTCTCTCTTTCACCTTCCTACTGCCATGTCATCGTTGGTTATCCTCCCTCCTTGTCCTGACATCGTATGCGACTGCCGTCTTGGCATTGAGCTGTGGCATGGCCTATTATATCGGCTTTCTGCTATCACTAATGATTATTGCACATGGGGTGGGATGCCGAGTTCTCTCGAGGGCTCGGGCCATCACTGGGGCACGTGCGTCGGGCGGATGTGTCGGCTGGGACACGCTGGATCCGATAAATTTTGTCTTTCCGGGTGAGGATCTGAAGCCGTCTTGGTGGTCCCCCATTCTTTCAGCTCCGCCCGTCGCACCCCTTCACCACCGCTATGTTCCGACCCCGCATGATACTGCAGTCCTGGTCCTAGTGCCCCCCCCGCTCTCGCCACCGAACTACCGCATTTTGTCGTCTGCAGCCACTGTGGCTCAACTCCGTGGCGTGAGGCTCAGGAAGAGAGTTCGGTTTGGCGTGGGGAGTTTGCGGCCCCGACTGTTTTCATCTACGCTCTTACACTCTTACGCTCCTCCGCACACTGGTTAGTCTGCTTACTGGGTTGAGGCATTGTCCCTCAAGCCTTTGCAAGCTGGCTCAGTGTCGATGGGACTCAATGGATTTCAGAAGCGTCGAATGCAGAACTCACAGCAGTGGCTGCGCAATTGGTGCACTTACGAAAAGCCGGGACAGAGATGGTAGAACCGTTCGGATGTTGAGCGAAGCGCAGTGTCCTGATGGTGACAAAGGATCGCCTTTCTTCTGCAGCCGTGTGCCAGCCGGTGGGGGCCCATCGGTCACAGCCACGTCGGCTTTGCTCGAGCGTGAGGCTGTTTCTGAACAAGAGCGCACCCAGAAACAGTTGGCCGCCCAGTCCCGCAATAATTATTGCCAAGCTCAAGGAAGCTCTGGCAGCCAAGTCTGGCGCGATGGGTGTCAAGCAGCCCTGTGAGGTTGATTCGCAGGACCTGGTCAGTGAGCTGGTTGCCGCGATTCACTTGGCTCCAGGAAAAGTCCAGGTCTCGTCAGGACGAAGGAAGGGTTGGAAGAGAAGCTACGTGTGGCTCTTGCTACGGTCTTACACTCCAAGCCTATCGGGGCAAAGCTGCACGCCATAACAAATATATGTACCGTGCTTGAGAGGAAGTGCGACCCTATGCAAGCCAGCTTGCCTAAGCTCAGGGAGCAGGCGGCCCAGCTTCAAGTCTGGGTTGGTGAGGCTCAGACGGCGGTCGATGGGGCTGTCAGAGAGCCGGTCGAAGCTGAAGGGACGAGGCGCAGTGTGGCGTCGCAGGCTCCACGGCCCGAGGCTGCTGTCCAGTCGCTCGGAGGTGTCATCCGTGGGATCGACATCCACACCGACTGTTGCAGGCAGTCGGGGCAGATGAGACCCTGGCCAGCAGCACCCAGGGCATCTTCCCAGAGCTGCGCACAGCCGGCCCAGGTTAGCAGGTCGACCCTGCCATCCGTGGGATCGACATCCACACCGACTGTTGCAGGCACTCGGGGCAGATGAGACTTTGGCCAGCAGCACCCAGGGCATCTTCCTGGAGCTGCGCACATTGGGCCCAGGTTAACAGGTCGGCCCTGCCAAGTCAAGGGTGCCCTTCTGTCCTGTGTCTCGCGACCCATGCCTCCTACATTCCTGTGGCAATGTGGCGCTCGGAAGGGTCTTGTGTCCTCTCGCGTGTCCTGTCCAACCGAGTCCGACTGTAGGCTCGATGCGGCCGCCGCTGAGCGGGCCCGAGCCCCTGCCACGGCTGGAGGCGCCGACGGTGTGGGTCTGTGCACGCTTGCCCGAAGCACGCAGGTCCATGTGATGACGGCGGCTTTCCCGACCTTGAAGGGTTCTATCGGATGGCATTTGGTGCGGAGCCTCCTGCCGAACCTGAGTTCCGGACAGCGATCAAGCGTTTCGCAGGAGCGGTTGGAGGCTTCGCCAAGAAAGCTCCTACTTCGGCATGAGTGGTGGCAGCGTTACGCCGCCGTCTGCTACGAGTTTGCCGTTGGTGTGAGCGGCCCCCGTTTGCCCCGGGCCCGCGCCTGCTTTGCTGGGGGGGGGCGGGCCAACGGACTGTCGTGATTTGCACAGGGCGCGGCCCGCCGCCCCTGACACGTGTTCTACACAACCGCGGACGGCGTCGAGGAGGTAGGTGTGGAGCGGCGGTCACCTTAATACGTTTTCTGCTACGAGGTTGCTGTGGGCGTGCATGGCCCCTTCGGCCCTGGACCCTCGCCTGCCCCGCTGGGGGGGGGGGCGGGGGCGGGCAGTGGGACTGGCGATAGCTGCATAGGGTGAGGCGCGCCTCCCGCGGCACAGGTGTGGGCCAGGCAGTTGTAGGCAGCTTGCGATATATTGCCCAGTCGTATTCAGATATGTTCTTGTTGCTAGATGCGATATTATGATAGAAGCTCTACACAGTCTCGGACGTCGCCGAGGCCGTGCGTCGAGTGTGCCGGTGCTTTTTCCCTGCTAGACTATACTTCGCCCTGGTTTGGGACGGTGCATCAGCCGCTTTCGTCAAGCAGCGGGGTCCCTCGCCACGTGGAAGATACCACATGTTACGTTGACAAAATCCTTGAGATAATTAATAACAGCAGAGCCTGGGCGGGCCCAGGTTCAACGTCGTCACGAGTGACAGGATTCCGACATACGTCCGCCGTGAGGCCAGCGGCCTGCGGATATGTCGACGCTGTTAACACCTCCTCCCATGGCCAGTTGATCGACTTCCTGGGCTCGGCAGGCTTGGATAACGTGGTCTCACTTGTCCAAGAACGCCACGCTTCGTCGCGCAATTTGGTCGACGTGCAGGCGGAGGTTCGAGGCGAAGGAGTTTCGGGCTTTTGGTCCGAGGCGCAAAAGTTATTGTCGTGATCTTGGTGTCCCTTCGATCACATCCTGTGCCACCTAAACAACATGCGCACTGTTGTGAATTGCTGG